ATTTTGTGCTGCAGTCACATTGGAGGGCCGAGTCCATTGTCAGTCGCTTCATAACTTTTTCATCAATTTTAATGTATGCTGAGATTATTATACCAGTTGAAATGGCCTTTAATCAATTTGCTGTTGCATAAAACAGGTCAGAGAAATATCTCAATTCTTCCATATGCTCATCTTTCAGCTGCTGTTTCTTATTTTTACATACTAATACCCAAACATTTAATTGATGTAAATCTGAATAACCTTGTCAAAATAAGTGGGAGTCTCTCAACTCGACTCCAGTGACAACAGCAGCATTGCTCATTTACCTGAGCTCTCTTACCTGTATCTTCAGTCCTAATTAGAGTCGCTGTTTCCAGTTGGTGACTAAACAGATGCACCTTTAACTCTTGTATTAATTTTTAAAAGGCTAATATGTAAAATATCTTGGTTACCACTAAACCTTCCTGCTCCATTTAAACTCCACGAATGAGCAGTAAGATTTTAATGAAATCAAACACTAAAGCCAGATACAGCTGAAGTGCAAAACTGCTGCTTATTTTCATGCTCAAGGTCTCGTAGTCATTGTTTAATCACTAGTCAAACAATCTTATTGGTTGTGCTGAAAACATTAATTTACATTTGTTAAGTATTGGTACTGAACACTACTGCCGATGTCAACAAAAATGCCTTCTAGAAACTTTCAGCATCACTGTCCATTGTGATGTTCAAGGTAAATACATGCTTTTAAGTAGATTTTCTTACTTAATCCATGTAGTTTCACTGTTAGTCAGAGGTCATACATGCATACCAATGTTTAAGGCCAGACTCAATGCATTAACCTGCATCAATATGCAGTGTTATAAACATCTGGTCTCAATGTTTTACTTCATCTTTCTGGGTGTAAACTGTAGGAAAGTTCTTGTCATTCCACAAATGGGATTTAAAATGGTCTCCTTCCTTTGACTTTTGTGATGCTGGTGCATTTTTGACATGTGACAAGGCTTCATCTTCTCACACTAGATAAACAATGAAGATGGTTCTTAGTAAGGAATTAACTGCAAGTTTTGTCTTTGAATCTGGCATGTTTGGTTTTTTTTTTTTTCCTGTTGAAGGATTTATTTGTACAAATGGCAAATCCAGTATTTACTGTGTTTTTGTAACATAATGTAAATTGTTATTGGGACTATTTATTTCAGAAAGTGTTTTCTGTTTAAGTTAATGTTAAGATGACATCTTAAAAGGAAAAACATGTTTAAGTTTTCAGTTTGTAAAGGTGTTTTTATTCTGTGTATAAAAAATAGTTATCAAATCTGGTGGTTGTTTCTTGCATTCATCGTTTATGATAAAATCAGATAAAGTCGGATGAAAACTGATACAAGAAAACAGTGCAGCCTTTGGGTAATTACCAAAAGTTATGACGGTACCCATTTTAAAAAAGCACCCATTAAAGCAGCTCATTTATAATTTATTACCTCAAGAATATAGAACACAAAGCTGTGGAGCAACTTTCAGTGTGTGACTTGCTCGACTCAAACAGGAAATCAAACTGACCACCAAAAGTTGTTTCTGGACAGAGATAAGCAGAGTTTCCTTCCTCTACATGTATTAAAATCACTTTGTTTTGAGAATCATTTTCAGTGCAGATGATCCAGGAACATGTCAGATGTGCCACATCTCAGAGACACATTGGAAAAAGTGCCTTTTCTACCCATAGTCTGTGTATGTATATGCATTGTGTGTATCTATACGTATCTATACATATATATACACATGTAGTTTTGTTTTACTGTAAACCAACTGTTGTGGGTAAATCCTCTGCCAAAACAACATATAGGAAAACCTCATATCTCAAATTTTAGTTAAGTGGTTCTCATATATTTATTTATAGTTTTGGCATGAGAGACAAGCAGTACAGTGTGTTGTTTATACATTAAATCATAGCTCTTTTTATCTGTCATTAAAATGTGATTCTCCAGGCTTTTAATGGGGTTTTTCATGACTGGGACAGCAAAAGGCTGAGATTGTAGTTTCCAGAACTTGGAAGACGTTTCCCAGACCCGACACACAATACTGACATATACTGTAAATTACAAATTTGACATTAATGCTCCTGCAAATACACATTTACATTTTGAGCATATTAACTAAATTTCCTGGTTACAAGAAGTCTACAGTGGTGTGAAAAAGTATTTGCCCCCTTACTGATTTCTTATCTTTTTGCATGTTTGTCACACTGTAATGTTTCAGATCGTCAAACAAATTTATATATTAGTCAAAGATAACACAAGTAAACACATCATGCAGTTTTTAAATGAAGGTTTTTATTATTAAGGGAAAACAAAATCCAAAACTACAAAGCCCTGTGTGAATAAGTGTTTCCCCCCCCTGTCAAAACATAACTTAACTCTGGTTTATCGCTTTGGCCCACTCATCTTTGCAGAATTGTTGTAAGTCAGCCACATTGGAGGGTTTTCGGGCATGAACTGCCTTTTTAAGGTCATGCCACAGCATCTCAATTGGATTCAGGTCAGGACTTTGACTAGGCCACTCCAAAGTCTTCATTTTGTTTTTCTTCAGCCATTCAGAAGTGGACTTGCTGGTGTGCTTTGGATCATTGTCCTGCTGCAGAACCCAAGTTCGCTTCAGCTTGAGGTCACAAACGGATGGCCGGACATTCTCCTTCAGGATATTTTGGTACACAGCAGAATTCATGGTTCCATTTATCACAGCAAGTCTTCCAGGGCCTGAAGCAGCAAAACAGCCCCAGACCATCCCACTACCACCACCATATTTTACTGTTGGTATGATGTTCTTTTTCTGAAATGCGGTGTTACTTTTACGCCACACATAATGGGACACACACCTTCCAAAAAGTTCAACTTTTGTCTCGTCTGTCCACAGAGTATTATCCCAAAAGTCTTGGGGATCATCAAGATGTTTTCTGGCAAAACTGAGACGAGCCTTTATGTTCTTTTTGCTCAGCAGTGGTTTTCGTCTTGGAACTCTGCCATGCAAACCATTTTTGCCCAGTCTCTTTCTTATGGTGGAGTCATGAACACTCAGCTTAACTGAGGCAAGTGAGGCCTGCAGTTCTTTGGATGTTGTTGTGGGGTCTTTTGTGACCTCTTGGATGAGTTGTCGCTGCGCTCTTGGGGTAATTTTGGTCGGCTGGCCACTCCTGGGAAGGTTCTCCACTGTTCCATGTTTTCGCCATTTGTGGATAATGGCTCTCACTGTGGTTCGCTGCAGTCCCCAAGCTTTAGAAATGGCTTTATAACCTTTTCCGGACTGATAGAGCTCCATTATTCTCTTTCTCATTTGTTTTTGAATTTCTTTGGATCTCGGCATGATGTCTAGCTTTTGAGGATCTTTTGGTCTACTTCACTTTGTCAGGCAGGTCCTATTTAAGTGATTTCTTGATTGCGAACAGGTGTGGCAAGAGAAATTGAACTCAGGTGCGATAAACCAGTGTTTTGACAGGGGGGCAAACACTTGTTCACACAGGGCTCTATAGTTTTGGATTTTGTTTTCCCTTAATAATAAAAACCTTCATTTAAAAACTGCATGATGTGTTTACTTGTGTTATCTTTGACTAATATATAAATTTGTTTGACGATCTGAAACATTACAGTGTGACAAACATGCAAAAAGATAAGAAATCAGTAAGGGGGCAAATACTTTTTCACACCACTGTATGTCAAGGAGTCGGGTTGAAAAACAGTATCACATGATCATAACCTCTTCACCACGGAGCTTTAAGTCTTGTAAATTACATGACCACTTTTAAACAGTGATTCTGGGGACAAATTTAACTAGGCTGTTCAACACAGGTGTTGGAACAATAAACAGGTCCTGTTAGAATCTGTTAATAAAACTGCAAACTGTGTTACTGATGAGTTGCACCTATTTACTTCTCATGTCTGTTTGGCCTCCAGCCAGTTTCATGTTTGGGTCCATTTGCCTCCAGTCATGTGGTCCTCACCTGAAGCTGCATCAGCACTCACTCATCTTTCAGTTTCCGCTCCTTACGAGCGCGAGATGCCATGAGTTTGAAGAAGAGTGCGGGCCACAAGGTGCGGAGGTAGATGGCCAGGGAGGGCAGCGGTCCTGCCAAAACAACATCTTTGCTTCTGTGACGGACAGCCTTCAGAACCGCCTGAGCCACATCCCTGGGGTCAGAACCCATAGCTGTGGTTTTATCCACAACTGAAAGCAGTGTCGCAAAGATGAGAAATGTGTCAGTGACATCAGAGGGTGAGTAGATCAACAACTGTAGAAACTTTTTTTTTTACAGAACTTTGTTTTATAACAGTTTAACTGACTTTCATCAGATAGTTTAATGCCATATGTAAAGCACTGTGAATTGCAGATGGAATTGAGAACTGTTGGCCCCTCCTGACTTCCTCTATAGTTGCCACACTGATCGACTCACACACTTCTCACAATTGCATTAGCCTACCTCCATGCTTGGAGCCATCTCCTGTGACTGCGTTGAGTGACAGGTTGGTTCGAATATACCCAGGGCTAATCACAGTCACTGGAATCCCATAGTGTTCGATCTCTGCCCGTAAGCAGTCAAAGTAGGCTTGGGTTGCATGCTTGGAGGCTGCGTCTGCCCACAGTGTGGAAAAATGAGAGGAGATTGAAAAAGCTCTTGGGTTTTTGTTTGATTTAATCAAATAAGTAACGACAACTTACAAGCTGATCTGTAAGGAATGGCTATCTTGCCCTGGACGCTGCTAATGACAACAATGTGGCCACTACGCCGGCGAACCATGGAGGGCAGGAGAGCTGTGAAGAGAGGAGAATTTGTGAGTCTAAAATACTTCTAGGAAATCTGAAAATGTCTGTGAAAATCTAGCTCTGGTACATTTATGCCTTTACCATTTTCATTCCTTATGAGTGTGACCAAAGCAAAAGACGGTACCTGACAACTGTTAACGCTGCACTGCAGCAAAACTACTCAGCAACAAAAAACAGTAAAAGTTCACATGGCCCAGGCTGCTCTCCTCACTGACCTTGAGTAAGAGCAATGGGCCCAAAGTAATTTGTTTCCATAACATCCCGTTGAACTGAAAGGTGGGTATCCAGTATGTTGCCACGGTAACTGATTCCAGCATTATTGATGAGGACATCCACCTGTCCGTAACATTTCAGGATCTCCTCTGCAGCTCTGTGCACTGTGGATGTGTCAGCCAGGTCAAAGATAACAGTGCTGGGAGTGTAAGTCTGGTGGTTGGACAAAACAAAGCAGAACAGTTATCATCATCCTACATCTGCAGTCAGGCTGTTTCAGATCATTCCTACATTGTAAAAGTGGTTGATAAAAACTGTTTGGAGATTATGATTTGGTTCCTATTGGAGATTAGTGCTGTGTTCTCAGAAAAGGAGTGACAGAGTTCTAGATAATCAGCGGCTTAAAGAACATGACACTATTAGGTTGTGTCTGACTAAGTACTGACTCGTTTTAGTATCAATCAATCTGTCCATTATTGTTCTGATGAAAAGATTATTTGGCTTCATAAAACAGAAACTAGTGAAAATGTTTCTAGTACCCAAGGCAATGCCCTCAAATGTCTTCTGTCTGACCAGAAGTCCACCACCCCAAGAAATTCAGTTTAATGTAAGAGCTCACATTTGAGAAACTGGGACAAACACATTTTTGGCAATTTTACTTAACAAATAACTTCCTGTAGTTTAGGGGTTAAGCTACTGACCATTAATGGTTCAAATCTGGCCTGGGAACTTTGTCAGTCTCTCTTTCTCCCTTATTTTCTCTCTTGTCTCTACTATTCTCTGTAATAAATGTTCAAAATGTCCAGTTTTTTTATTTCTGTCAATCCACTAATCAAGTAATAGTCTACTCGCTGTAGGTCTAGTGTGCACACCTGGTGCTGTGTGCCTGTTGAATTTGCTTTAAGCTCCTGGACGACCTGCTGCAGACGGGCTGCATCTCTTCCACACAGCACAAGCCGTGCACCTGCAGCGTGGAAGACCCGTGCACACTCTAGAAAAGAACAAACCTCTTGTTCACGGTGAATTTCAAAGCACCACATCACTTAAGCATATTGCATCTCACTACTGCTACCAGTCAATGTGACTTTGTAGTGCACAACATCTCACTACTACCCAACTGAGATAAACTGCTACCAGTCAATGTGACTTTGTAGCGACTTCTAGAGAGCATCTGCATGTAGGCTGAAGTAAAAAAAAGAAACGAGAAGACAACCGACCTTTCCCCAGTCCAGAGCTGGCCCCTGTGATGACCACCACTGCATCCTGCAGAGCGGCTCCTGGTCTGCGGCGAACAAGTATCCGGTATAAAACCAAGACCCCTACACTTGCTAAAACCAGGGGTAGCATTCCTCCTCCCATGACACGCTCCATGGCTGACGCTCCCCGTCCCTGCTCCACACGAGCTACCTGTGGACACAAGTACAAAGAATTTAGAACCAGTCTTCCTCAACTGCAACTGCTGATTTGCAACATTACAACTTTCAAATCCACTGCTCTTGTACATAGATCACACCCAAAACAGTCTGATTAAAACTGCATAAAAGAAACTGTTTATTTCATATATATGACTCTGGTAACTTGTGTCTTTTACAGACTAAAAGATGTATCCTTTAGAAAATGATACTGTGAGAGAAAAACATTTT